AGGGATAAGAAGCTGAGGAAGAAATCAGTATCACAGCGTTATATAAACTCCCTGAACCGTAATAAACAGTTCCACCCTAGTGTTCGTCGCATCTCAAGTGGCGATCAGCCAAGGACTCCGAATGGCTAGAAGAAGAACACCTGCACAAGAGCAAGAGTTACCGCAGAGAAGGTCTAGTCGAACCCGTAAACTTACGCCTCGGATGAGAAGTTACGTGGAAGATCGGGAAAAATCTGTAAGATCGAAAGGCAGCGTGAATGCGATTGATGTGGCCATGTACGAAGTTCGCTTATGTGCGCCCAAGTGACGGCTCGTCTGGAGGAAGGACTTCGCGCCCGGGGTGGAAGAGGATAGGCCAGAGTAGGCCGGATTTGGTATGGAATTGTGATGGAATAATGTAAAATAGGAAAAACTCTGGGCTGGGGCGCAAGGCATAATGAAAAATAAGCAAGTGACTTCGTCACTTGGGGGAGATGTAAGGGGGTGAATGATTGTTCAGGTAGACTGCCAGCTGGAGAAGCCGCTGCGAAATGGAGGGATAAGAAGCTGAGGAAGAAATCAGTATCACAGCGTTATATAAACCCCCTGAACCGTAATAAACATAAAATTCCCCTGAACCGTAATAAACAGTTCCATCCTAGTGTTCGTCACATCTTAAGTCACCAATCCCAAATTGAATCGTAGGAAAGAAACGTCTCGCAATCACGCGGGAGCTTCGGCCTTATATAAGATTGGCCTTCCCTCTGAGACTTCAATGAGGGGACATACAACAACTGACACCGTTCGGTTGATACCATCAGTTGCTGGGTGGTTTCGAAGAATCCACAAAGTTACGGTGAGTGGTTCTTCTTTTGAACACCTGCGTGCCCTGAGGGTCTCGAATTTTGTGGGTTGGTGGATGGTTGATCGGCTAGTCACAGATTGTTATGATCCTTTCAGGCTCTGAAGAAGGCAATTCCGCCGAAACGTCAGCCTGATAAAGGATATTTACAAACCTCGTAAAGAGTTCAAGACAGCAATAAGCTCAGTGATATGATTGGCAACTACTCCAGTCTGCCTGTCAGCTGTCCATAATCTATCAATGTTAGATAAAGGACAGCCATCCGAGCGAACGGCGTTCCGAAGACGTTCCAGTGTATTCGATCTCATCCTTGTTGTCACAAGACCTGTTGATGTTTTGCAAGAGTTGGGGATGCCTCTGTCTCAGATTCATTGATTTGAAGAAAGCCTTCGATACCGTTGAGAAAGAACTCGGTGATCGAAGCATTGGGCAGTCAGGGGCTACTGTCAATATGAGGGGAGGAGTGGGCAGGATGATACCACCCAAACATTGCCGCTCTCAAAAACATCTTGGGCTTTTTGGAATGGAAGACATGGGAGTGAAGGTCAACCTACTTACATCATCTGTTGCGACAACATCATTTTCGTAAAACCGAACATTGAGCAGGCGGAACGAATAAGACAAGGCTTCTGGAAAGATAGGCTTACTACTGAACCTAACGAGGACCATGTTCGTTAGGAACGGATTGGTACCTGATGGTCCCTTTACGCTGATTGGACGAATATCTTCAAATGCTCTAGCAGAATGAGCATGCAGCCAGCGTCAGTTTTTCACGTGCTGTAGAAAGGACAATGCCTAGAATTTCCCGATGCAAGCAATTGCAGAGGAGAATCCGGAGCTCCGTTCACGAACGAAGATCAGGGATGTCGTTGACACTACCTCAAGAAACCGAAGATCAGACGGGCCGGACACGTCTTCGGCATTAAGGTGACCGTTGTTATAGAGCATACTGACTGGACCCTTTTGGTGACCCAAAGAATGCCAGGAGGGCTGCGAACGAGATGGTTAGACTTCTTCTCCGGAGCTCTGAACCATAGCAATGCGACATCTTGTGTCCATTGGGCGAGGGCGATCCGCTGGATTACTATGGCTGGCTATAGAGACGAATGAAGACGTTTCTGGCGGCCGCTCGAGGAAATCGATGATTAACGGGACGACATGTGATACAAATGGGCATGCGCCACCTAGTTTGTCAGAGTCAATGACGCCTGTGGTTTAAATCGTTCGTTCCAGACTCCACATGTTATGTCTTAAAGATGCGGCGTTTTCACAAAGACCATCACATTTGTAATCAGTCTCTATAAAAAATAAAAAAAAAAATTAAAAAAAAAAAATAAAGTTTTACGCGCTGATAATGTTGGTGCGCCGGTGATAATGCTGCTGTTTTTTGAAGACGGGAAGTTTGATCGATCTGGGCTATTTCTTTTTCACGGAAATATGAAACGGCGCTTTGACCACGGGCTTTAATTTTTGATTGAGGGAGTAGAGGGGTAGTATTTCGAGATCCTACTCGCCTAAGATTGCATTATTGTATGAGATTCTACTTGCAGGGAAACTGGTCCTTTGTTGAATTGCGCCTTATGCGACTGCCAGGTGCTGAGCAATGATAACGCAATTCATGCCCACGTCAATCATCACGCTGAAGCAGGCGGATTTTGGTGTAAACTGTGTGGATTGAGTGAATGTGATAAATACAGAATATATGAGCACATGCGGGTGAACCATCCGAATAATGTACGTCATTTTCACCTTCCTACACCAGCGCTTTAATTGTCATGAACATCTTAGAATCATTGTTTCAGGTAGAGTTGTTTGAGGACCGGAGAGATATTTTGAAGCTGTGCGCCGTCATTCAAGAATGTTTCCCTCGAGCAAGTCCTCGATTCAAAAAGGAAACGGTGCGAGAGTTTGACCTCATAATAAAGTAAGTACTACCACTTGGACCACTTGACTTATTCTGCTGTTTTTTTATCTTTAGTCGACAAACTCACCGACGTCGTAAGAACTTTTTACCTCGACCTTCCTCCTATACTTATCACAAGTCTGAACATGGTTGACTGCACTCTCACAATCTGGGCCTTGAGTAAAATGTGACTAATGTGCAAAGTGGTGTGGCTACCGTATGTGGATATACTGTTAGACCAATTACCGTTAAGCCAACCATGCTTTGCGTCCATGAACCGGCCATTGTGGGAAGATCGAAGCTATTTCTCATATGGAAGTTTGCACATGCAAGTTAGTATGGGTAACCAGACTAAATCACTGAATGGAGATCGAGTGTGTGGGTGCATCCCAGTCGGAGTTGAGCAGTGCTGAGGGTTTGCATCATCCTCTATGCTGAGTAACAGTTGTCATGTGACCATCCATACTAGGCTTCAAGGTGAGGACCCCAATTGCAGGTGGCATAGACTCCGCCCCCTGGGCGCGTTTCGAGCGCAAAAATCGTTTCCTTAAAGCTAGATCGTTCAAATTTTGGAAGAGATGCAGACGATGAAATGGGAATACTGATGAAAGGTGACAGATGTAGACTCCTGTGGGTGGGTGAGTAGGGTGGGGAGGGATATCGACAATCCTCTCCAAAAGCCTTCCAATTAGGATGTTGGCCGATACACCATACGTTCTGTTGTGTAATTGATCGATCTCTTCAGCTTCATTCCCTTCAGAGGTACAGTGTTCCAAATCTGAGAAACTTGAAGAGATTTGCTGGCAATGTGGTGTGAATGTAGCAGATTTTATTTTATTCTAACAGATTTTAACTGGCGTCAATTTTACTACTCGATATTTTACTGCTTACTACTCCTTTTTTTAAAAAGGGAAGGGTAGGAGTAGTTCTCAGGTATTTTAACCACATGAGATGGAGGAAAGTCCGTTGCTGGCCGGGCGAATTGATTGGTTTGAATGTAAGTCAAACCGTTGAGAAATGTAGAGAATTTGGCTAAGGAGCGACGAAGAAAAGGACACGCCTGGGAAGGAACTTGTTTACGAACAAAGGGATACGAGAAAATTCAACGAATGATTGTTTGTTGTTTTAGAGCAGAAGTAAGAAATAGACTATATCGGCTTTCCCATTCTTCGAAAAGAGATCGATTCGCAGAGGCAGAGAAAGCTAAGGAGAAGTAGAATAAAGCGCGTTCAGTTCACGTAACAGGTAGAAAATGAAATCAGAAATAGATTTTTTTTTGCAGACCGCAGTTGAAGACTTGTCTATTATGAAGCTTTTACGTAAAACTAGTAGTCAAAGATCCACCTTAATTGGATGGTGTATAATGCCTAGGCAGCTGAGATAGTCTGTGCGTTTCGAAGCTATTCAGATTCCTCTACTGGTTATGCATAGAAAAAGACACATCTGCCAACTGCCATATTTGATATGACTGCTCCATTGAAATCAAAACTATAATGCCTCAGTTGATAATTTGTTCGTGGTCCTATGTTCACAAGAATTCACTGCAGTGTTTAAGCATTTTGCAGAACTATAGAGGAAAAGCATCTTACGGAATTGAAGTGTGGACGATGCGATGCACTCGTGAAAGCAACAAAAACAGCACTAACAAGGCATGCACATCAGCATCCTGTGTACAGGTATTAAACGTTGCTTATTTTCAAGCAGTTGATGTTCGGCAAAAGAAGTCAAAACGTGGAAAACTTTGTGTAAACAATGTTAGCACGGTGGCGAGGGTGATAATCTCCGAAACATTCTGAAGGCAATCAGAGAGCGAATAATAGCGCGCGCAATATGCTTTTGCAACTGCGTCATTCATTGCTGTACCACACCAATACCAATTCCGTACCGTCATGGTCTACAAATGGTGCCAAGGGAAAAGTACGAGTATAGCGGGTGGTATCGGTCACGATTTGCTGCATTTATTTGTTCCCGTTTAGCGACCGAAAACTATACTTTTTGGAACAAACATCTTTCATTTTAATGAGGCACAAGGTTATGTTATCTTTCCATATGATTTTTTGAAGGCAGGCAAGATGTCACATCTACCTTTTAGCCCAGCATTAGGCCATTGGGGCTAGGGGAAGAAGATCGTAACAAGTGTTACATCTTAGAACACGACAACGCGCACATAATTTTGCTTGTATTCTCCTGACTTGTAAAAGGTATCATCGTCATAATCAGCGATTCGTTTGGAGGAGAGGCACTTGATCCTACAAGTGTATTTCTGATACTCGATCTATTCGAAAATTCTAGGGATGAATAGGAAAAATTTTCTCGAGAATTTTCTTTTCAACCCGATATGAAGCAGTCCAACCATCGACCGACCAGTTTTTCATTGCGTCGCCTTTTGCAGTATAACGGACATTCTTTTGTGGGCATATTGAGTAAGTGGTCAATTCATTGAAATCTCGGTAGTGATATCATTGTTGAAGCAACTCAGTACGCTCTAGCCCCGACTAACTTCTTCAAAAGTTCTAACGTTGACGGAACTGCAACTACATTGACAGTGAAACCTTTCCGCATCTCTGATTTGGGTCGTACATTACCGTTCAAAAAGAAATCACCTCGAACCTTTTTTTTGCAATAACTAATCTCGAACTCGATGTTTTTGACTCATTTTTTGATATGTTGTCAACAGTAATGATATTCAATGTCTCCATCACAGAACTCACGAAACTTTTTGATTTCGTTTAAAAGGCCGCTTTTATATTTTTTCCGAACAGGAAGAATTAACACCAGTTTCAATGATTCACTTGATAAATCACTTGACTCTAACGCTATCATCATGAGATCAAAACCCAACTAACTACCGGTCTAATACTTTGTAGCGAAGCCGTTGGCATCGATGATAGCTTAGCATCTGCGGGGCATTGATTCGACCAACTTGTCTATCAGGCACTCATCGATTTCATTCCATTCTTCTTCGAATAGGCCAAACTTCCGAGCAGCATTTGTGACTGCTTTATCGTTATCCTTTTCTTGAGTTCTTACCGCGAGGGTTCACTGATGTTAGGTAAAGGGACTGGCTGGATGAGTCAAAGCATCGACTTTTCCGATGAATCAGCCACTCGCGCTCCCCATCTTGATCTGTGTTCGGGGTCGTTATCTCGTTGGAAAGTAAGTTTTCTCCCGTGCACAGGACGGGAGAAAGGTAGCGTGGGTTTTTCCAAAATGCTTACGTACATCTTCTGAGCCGTAGTGGTGAGAATATGGTGCATAGATCCCATGCCTATACTCGGAGACTATCCCAGCCGGCACCATGCCTGAAAGTTGTCAAACGGTACTTAGGGTCGAAACTTGTGTTTTGAAAAGTCGTCTACGAACGAAACCCAAGTGTACCCAGCAGAACAATCTTCGACTAGTCGCTCTAGATGACTTCGCGTCATTGGTTGAAGGTCCAGTGAAGGTGCTCCGCGCCCATTAAAGTCGAGCTCGTCCGTTGTTTAAGAGATCCAGATATTTTTTGACAAGTCTTCCTCCATATATTCCAGCAACCAACAGGTGTCTTTCGATGGTATCCCTAGATGGTAGGGCAAACCGTACCCTTCCTGAGCTGGCTCGCTTGATTGGGCCTATGAGAGACTCAATACCTCTGATAGCCTTCGTAATCGTAGACATTGGTACAGCAAACAGTCTTGGATGTTGAGCATGGGTCAATTCCTGCTTACTGCCCGTGGCAATGGCGGAGAGCTGCTCCACGGTCAGAAAGCGAGAGCCAGAGTTTTGTCTTTCACTGTGAGCGATCAGCTAACAGAATAGAAGAATCACCAATATTCCTAGACTCGAAAAACAATGAAACCTACGTGGAGAACACGCCCATTTCGCAAGTTTAAAAAATCATCTACTTTGTTGGAAGTGAGCTAAGGCCAATTCTGCATCGCAGGAGAGTCGGTAATATTTGAAAAGTGTGCTGTGAAAAAATCAGGTAAAAGGATTGAGTTTGAGATGAGTTATGACAGAAAAGGTTCAAGGTGATTTCTTTTCGAACGGTACTGTACATCGTATTGCGTAAGCCACATAAGCTCAAAAAATGACTGGTAATGAAGCTTTTCATTCTACTTAATAAATACACAAAATGAAATACATGAAACGAAAGGAACGCTGGAAAGTAAAGTCATTCAAAACATGAAACATCTTTGCCCTTCTCCCCAGAAGCAGATTTGCGAAGGAGACCGCCGGAGTGAAACCCCTTCCATACAAGACATTTTAATAATTGTCAAAGTATGAACGAAACCATTGTGCTTTCGGAAAAAATTGATTAGAGCTGAAAAAACACAATCTGGAGACGGGCTCGCAAACCCCTTCCATGAATAGTTGAACTGTAACGTGTTGAACTCTTTTATGGATCTAATGGTGATGATGTTGATCTGATGAAAAGGCAAATTTCAAAATCATATGACGAAACTTTCTAAATTTAGATGTAAAGCGTGCAAATTTACGTCGGAAAACATCAAAACACAAGAAGAACACCAAGTCGGACTGCACACCTCGTTAGACCCGAAGATCACAGTCGATTACAACGTGTGCTCGGCCGCGGATGTGCTAGCCAGGACCGTGCAACGATGTTTCGCGCATGTTTTGCAATCGTCGGACATGGATAGTCGAGAAAGGAACTCCGGCTGCAAAGCCTTAAACGCCTCTTCACTGTAGGTACAGCGCGAAACTTTTCTTCTTTTCATTTCGATATCTATAGTTCGCAAACTACAGCTAAAATGATAGATGTCGGTTGAGCATTCTGAGAGTTTTCCGATACACATTCTGGAGTTATTTACGAGTCAACTTGCTGAAAGGTACCTACTCTAAACTAACTGATGTGCCAATTCCGGTATTCTTTCTGTTCCTTTTTTTTGGTTAGCGCTACACCGTCGCTCAGTGATGCCCGTCTGTTCGAGACGTCGGCATCAAGTTCAGTGTAAATGCAATCCATCGTATTGTGATGTGATATCCACTTTTGCCCTGCTGGGGCCTTGTTAGGCATTGTGTTTATCTCAGAAATTTCGCGAAATATTTAATGTATGAAATTGTGCTCTACATCACTCATTGCTGTATACATGTGTCTTATTTACGGGTAACGAAGTCTGGGTTAATTTAGAATCAGCTTTCCTGTTTCTGTTATTTTTGAAGGAAATTCCACATTACATAGCTAATATGATACTGTCAATGTTCAACGTATACATGGGTCGACGAGCGCGGTTTCTGACGGGATCGTCTGTTTCTCTAATTGCAAGTACATTTCAGTTGTATGGTTACAGTTGGGATTGTGAAACCCAACCACTGTTGCTTTCGTGGCTGATGAGCTACTACTGATTCGAACGATCTTGAAGCTGTTGATTTTACTCGTTTTTTTTGTCTTGCTTTTCTTTGCCTTATGTGAACACAAGAGGACTGAGCCAGCTCTTCAAGACGGTGTTTGAAAGTTTTTTTTTATGTAGAAGATTTTGAAGCACGATTAAACCTTTTTTCCGAGTGGAGCACGCAGAAACCTCTTGCAAATGCATTGCTTTACAATTGAAAAGCGCGTAAAGTGGTTTTGATGATTGCATTGGAGCGCCAGTTGATACTGCATTTCCAGTAAATCTGGAAGGCGTGTGATGTGGATTTTCTATAACCTTAGCGACCTCTGAGCATACAATGTCAGCAGAAAAATCAGTGGCTTCTTGACTAGCTGGAAATTTAGAATTTCAATGCAAGTTACTCTCTTCCACAACATCATTTCTGTATCGCTCCCTTATGGAATTCAGAGCTCACGAAAGAAATGGTGTGTGAGGTTTCTCTCTAGGATTAACCTGTGACCACAAGTGTAGCATAAGAGACTTTGACTGGTTGACTAGGTCTGGATAGGGCGTAATAAGGACCCCATAGCCGACGTACACACCCAAGGCGGACGGGTTATCAAGGCGTTGCAGAGGTTGTAGAGCCTACACTATTCGCACCGAGACCTGCACATTAGATACAGGCAGCTTGTTGTAGCCAAGTGCAAACCCCTTTCATGCAATTTATATCGTCACCTCCTCGTCCGGCCGCTAACTACTTTTTCGAATCCTAATTTCGAATCTAAATACCTTAAATCTCGAGTTTCCTTCCCCATCTTTGCACTATTCCATTTCCATTATTCCCGGAATTGGAATGATAGATAGGAATTAAAAAGATAGCCAAAAACTATCGCGAACTGTGCCTTTAATATGCCCAATAGGTGTCTCTCTTTGGCTTGTCAGAGGGGCATGCAGTTCAACCGTGGTGAATGAAAATGGTATAACATCTGCACTATCGTCGTCTAAGACGACGATCACCTCACCTTAACTACTATCTCGTCGTCTCACTGTCTGAGACGACTCCCTCTAGCTTAACCCACGCCCCTAAACGGTGCGGGGTCAAGCGGCCCCGAGATAAGTAGGTCCCTCAATTCTACCTCGAACAACGAACGTCAAGGGCGAGACGTAGGTTTTGTACTTAGATAAAGACTTATTTGCTATTCTTCTGTTCTTTACTAGCGGTAACGTCCGCACTCACTATTTACTTGTTTTATTCTACTCCGAACTAACCGGAGTATATAAAATCCACTGAACCGCCAGCACATGCACCATGCAGGAGCGTCATCGGAACAAGGGCATATTAAAATAGGCATACGAATTCAATCCTGCTACTCAGAGTTGTTTGAAGTAAATAGGAGAACGAGCTTAAGACAAGTTTCAAAATAGCTGCGACTCCAATTTTATCTAATGCCTGCTTCCTTCATCGGTAATCTTTTGCAAATCATGGCTTGCTTCAAATCATGATTCGCTTGCTTGAATGATGTGTACTACTGTAATATTCACAAAGACTCAAAAAAGCGAGTGTAAGAAAGATTTCAAATGTTGCAGCAGGACGGTAGACCATGGAGATCAATATTCAGCAAAACGAAAACCCACCTCCAGTCCCTCGGTACTCGGCAACTGTCGCCCAGTGCCCCTGGGAACATCAAAGGAAGCTCGGCGCATTTGCTCGTCGACACTGTCCTGAAGTAGCTCAACAGAATGCGCTCGGAGAGATCCTTCAGTCACAGAAAGTAGAGCTGAAAATGAACTCCAGCAACTTAAATTGTGCCTCACAACCACCAAAATAGAAGTTTCCATGTATAACAGTCTAACTGCCGTATTTAATGAAGGAAAGACATTTGCATGTGATTACTACCCTTCCGAAATAACTGGAACGACATCCGGGAAAGCGGGAAGGTAACAGTGAGGCCTCTCCCTAGCCCATTTTATTTGAATACTAGTGGGCGGAGTCTACACCTGTCACCTACCATTGGTTTCCCACCTCGCCACCTACATCTCTGCCAAATTTGAACGACCCAGGTCCAATTTGACTATTTTTGAGGAAACCCGGCCCCCACTGGGCTTGAGTACTCTACGCTCAGGAGCAAAGGAGTTACAGATTTACCGCGAACTACACTATTCTTACAAGCCCCGCCCCTAGTGGGCGGAGCCTAGCTTAGATCACGTGTACCCAGGGAGTTTGGCTCATTTTCCACTTGTTCATCAACAGTCCCCACTTGTTCCAACCTGTCTGAGCTGTTCCACGTGTTTCGACGCCCTAGATACAGTGATAGTGATAAGATAGTTACGCTGGCGAACGTCCGTTGCGCGTGTCCGTCGAAAGTAGGTCACCCCGCCCACTTCGCGCGCGGCGCACTCCACTGAGGTCTCGAGATGACATCACAGTACCACCAAGTGTGAGTGGAGCGAACGATTTGCATTTGCCTATGTTATCTTCTCTTTGGCTGACTACCGTGGAGAAAGCGCAAATCGTATGCCTCGCTTACAGCTGCGACGTCTGTCAAGTGTCGCGGGCTGACCCACCGCATGCGACGGCTGCGGCGTGGCCTAGTTTCGACGGACATGCGCAACGAAGCGCACCCAGTTACGGTGAAACAGACATACAAACATACAAACATACAGAAAAACGGACATTTGTGGTTTATATATAGTAAGGATATCTATAACTGAAAAATGTAATCCCACAGTGTTTATTCCCGTCTTTTTTCAAGTCAAGTTTTTACATTTCTGAGATACAAAAGTAGAAGGCACTTGTTTCCCACCTCACAGCTACACAAGGCTATAAAAGGTACGTCGTGATTTCAATAGTTCCAATAGTGTCAAAATTGTGAACATCAGTAAACAAGGAGAGTTCGTGGTTCTGCAACGAGAGTGGGATACAGCAATGCAATCCCATTCCCAATGATAAACTCTCACAGTTGACTAGCACTTTGGGGACCAATCCAAAGTGCAGTGACGCCAACTTATCAAGTTATGTGTATACCAGGCAGCCACGCACGCTACTGCGTGCGCTAGGGCCTCTAGCCATGATTCGCGGAGCCACTGAAGCTTCTGATTTTTACTATAGACCTTTATCATCTGAGCCATCATTTTTTTTGGTGTGAAATCGGGTTGTATGTATGTGGCCATGAAGAGTACTCTGATGTATCCAAATCAAATACCTCTGCAGTCCATGTAGTCGAAGAAACCCTGTGTAGTTTGGGATGTGTGTGGCCATGAACACTAACTTCGGAAAAAAGTCTTTATAAGTATTTGTGGGGATATACACTCCTTTACATTTACATTTACACGCTTTTTCTCTTGTGTAGAAGGCACTACTGTGCGCGGAACCATGGATACTAACCTTTAGAAAATTTTCAGCCTACTTTTCGAAAGAGTTTAGTGGTATCTCCTGGTTGTACACTTATGTAGTCAGGGTTGATCTGAAGGACAGATGTATCAATTTTTGATCCCAGCCCCTACCCCCTCTTTGCAAACCCTACCCACTTCAGACCTCGAACCACATATTACCTCCAGGCACCTTTTTCCGGCGTTCTAAAACCATCTGGAGAGACTTACTAATTTATATGTAAGCCCACTTCACTGCCAATCCCGCCCACTTGTGGAATCTGAACATATTTGTTCCACTACATCATACCCCTTTTTCCCGCATCCCGCAATGTTTCTAAATAGAGTTATAAATTTTTGTCCAAGCTCTGCCCACGTTGGTGCCAATCCCGCCCACTTTTGGAATTTTACCACATTTGTCCTTTTACACCTTGACGCTTTCTTGCCGCATCCTAGAACGTTTCTGAGCAGAGTTATAATTTTCGATATAAGCCCCGCCCACTTTAGTGCCAGCCCCGCCCACTTCTGGGATTTGACCACATTTATTCTTTTACACCCTAATACCTTTTTGCCGCATCCCAGAACGTTTTTGAATAGAGTTATGAATTTTCGGTCTAAGCCCCGCCCACTTTGGTGCCGACCCCGCCCACCTCGAGGAGTTGGTGACATTTGTTCCACTACCTCTAACCACTTTTTTTCCCACATTCTAGAACGTATTCGAACGGAGTTACATTCATTTTTGAAGAGTGTCTTTCGTCCCTACGCACGCCCCGCCCACCATGGGCGGGGCTTTGCTACGCTTATGCACGCCCAACACGCATAAGGCCTTGTTCACTTCTTTTATCTTTTTTCCTGGCCTCTGCGCCTCAGTTGAATCGAGTTATGAATACATCTGAAAAGTACAGCCCATTTTGAGAAAGCTCCGCCCACAGCGCGCGTGCCTCCTCCGTCTGGTTTGTTGACCCAATTCTCACTTTTGGACATTTTTTCCCGGTGTCTGGACCATTTTAGAAACCAAAATAAGATGTTTGGCTATTCGCACCGCCCATTCCGGCACCTGCCCTGCCCCCTGTGGGCGGAGCTTCGCAGAGCTCATATGTGCTCCGTTGATCTCATCTTAGGCTCCACCCATCCCGAACTTGTCCCGATCTCTCCAGGCGCTTCTTAAGATGATACCGAATTTCGTGACGGACAAACAAACAAACAGACAAACAGACACACCAAACTTGTGGTTTATATAATATATAGTAAGGATTTAGCATGAGATGAACATCTGCTCACAACAACGGGTGCAAGGCTGAAATTTGCTCTATTGAGTGTTCACCTCTCTACTATCTTCCTGAAACCTACAAATTCAACAACCGACCCGGTTGCTTTTCCTATCCAAAACTTTTCACTTGGGCTTGGGCCATGGCGTCGGCCACTTCATACGAAGAAGTTAAGCGGTAACGAAATTCAGGCCACCCTTTGAAGCGTAAAGCACTGTTAAAGACCCAGAGACAAGAGGGGTTACTGACAGCAAAAGATGAATACTTACGATACTTAGTACGATACTAGAGAAAGAAACAACCAAACAAGTGGTAGCATTGTCTATGGCAACTCACATTTATTTTGTGAAACATCTTGCGCAGACCTCTGGACATAAGGGAACGTACGCTCCTTCGGTAATAACGGAAACACTTCTGCGATTCGAGTGGGTGAACCAAACGTAGAGTCACGTTCCACGACGGTCTCCTTGCTGAAGAGGACTTATTTTAAATCATCTGTTCGTACGGAAATTCGATATTATTTGAAAAAGCACCTGAAGAAATATGGCCAGATGTGGGATTATTGGGGCATATGGCGATACCAAAAAAGCACATGTGAGCCCAGCAGAGCTCCGCGCACAGGGGTGGAGCATGAACAGGAATGGGGTATCATTTGCGAAACTCCTTAATTAAATAACAGCCCCGACGCAGGAAAAAAATGAGAAAAAATGAGGGATTAGTCAACACGTTAAATGAAGGAAACCCGTCGGCGGTGGGCAGCGTTTTTGTGGTGGGCGGTACTAATCACATAAGTTCATTACTGGATTCAACAGAAGCGTGGAGATCAGAAAAATAAAAGGAATTAGAAAGGCCTTATGCGTGCTGGGCATAACATGCCTAAGCTCCGCCCACTATGGGCAGGACAGGCGCCTAAACGTAGAGTTCTTAAAAAAGTATAACTCTGTTCAAAGATGTTCTGTCACGTGGCATGTAAATGGTTAGAGGCTACGGAAGAAATGAGATCAAATCCCTCTTGAAGCTGTCCCAATGTTCAAATCTAGGGAGAACTGTCCCATTGTCGCTGGATCACTCCTTGCTAGATGAGAGGTCATGGACATACAGTGCACGCGTTAGCGTGCTCACCCCAACTGGTCACTAATAGTGGGATCCATAAGGAGAAATTGGATGTGGAAGTTTATTCAATAAGATCTTGCTTTCAATAGTTTATTCATCTTTCTTAACTGCAACAGAGTTTCAAATCCTGATCACCAAGCAATCAAGTTTTGATGAGTTTCCTTAAAAAGTTATAAGCGTCAAAAATGCCTGATTGAAAAGCATGCTCTACGATGAAATTGTTTCCAAAATTCTCCCTAGGATTACGCGAGGGTAACACAAAGGACACTATCGGGAATGAAAATTTAATAGATAGGGCATAATATGAGCCCATTGCCGGATTCGTCGACGTCCGTGCTTATCGACCAATGATATATGTATGTCAGACGAGGTGCCGAAACGACACGGGTTGCGCTATTCGCATTACGACCCGCGCGTTCAGCATTTAATGAGCTATCGCCGAGCGATAGAGGATGTCTTACTCTATTATTCTCTGTTCTTTCTGCTGCTCTGGTCATTTTAATTTTTTTCCAATTCTCTTCCTTACGAGTATGGAAGAGGGTTGTTTCTACTGTTAGTCGTGTTCTTGTTGACTTATGCTAGTGATTTTGCTGTTTCGGTTGGAATTATTTTGGTTTTTAGACAGTAAAGAAGACTCTTATAAGGGAAGGATACTTTGTCGCAGTGGTCACTCAAGATGAGATATGTAAGCCCGTATGTTTATCTCAAATCTGTGTTCCAAATCTGCTAAACAATTCTGGGGACAAAGTTACGGGACCGATTCCTCCCTTTGTTACATCACTACACCGAACGGATCACCGAGCCCGGCAAAGCCGTACCTGCACAACGGTGGCGCAGGTGATAGGACAGTGAACTGGTAGGCATGACATAAGGTTCGATTTCTGATGCATGCGCTCGTTCTGCTTTTCCATTAAGTGCATCCTAAACGCTTGCAAAACGTTTTTGGGCTTAATTGGGCATCCACGGGGCTCCCTCACATTTTAGGACTGCGGGAAATAGTAATCCAATGAATTTTTTTTAACACTAATGACCGAATACCCTCTCTATCCCGGACAATCAGGATGATATTTCGAAACCTCCGGCAGCTCCATGCACTTACGGTAGAAGCGGTCGCATGACTCATCCGACCACAGCCCTCTCTGAAAAGGTTACGGTACAGACAGTACACATTCTAGGAGTACTGTCGCGCTTTCGAAGAGATGGTACAAGGTAACTGGCACTGTTGAGGAAATACTGATGAACAACAGTTTATCGCTTTGTGTGCACATATGACCCACTCATTCTATTCTTGAGGTGAACATCCTTTAAAGCCCTTTCATGAGGTGAACGTGGTGGTGGGGTGGGGCATGATATGGCATCCACCTACAATTTGCTTTGAAGTTGCCCTACATGGGCCTTCATCGTTGGTTTGAAGCGGTATCCAGTGAGAATGACTGCCATGCAATGGGACTCCCATTTTAATTTTATGATAACTTTCCCTCCAACTTATCCGCTAATCTCCACAGGTAGGTAGATCGGTCCGCTTGTTTTGCATCTGATAGTCACAACTACATGAGACGTCGTGAGTGTTGATAATAGGCTAATTCGAAAGCTTATAGCCTCTCGCACTTCCACTTAATTTCCGAAGATGGCACTCTGTTGTGATGGTTCAAAACATTTTTCATGCACGAACATTTTTTTGACACTCGAACTATATAGAAGACATAGAAGGCTATGGATTCTTCTACCAGAACGGATCACAAACTCGAAGGCTACGTTCCACTCCGTAATCTTTAGATACCCACAAACAGGTTTCCAGGTTTCTTTCGCGAAGTTACGGGTCTATCGTCGCTGTCCTCATCAGGCGACCGCAGAGGATCATTGTGATCACCCTTCACGAAATCGACTTCCTCGCAGTGGATACGGGCTTGTTTTCATAGCATCGAGAAGTACGGTTCGAAAGCTATTCATTACCGCTTCTCCCTGGATGGTGCCCATGTTATCCTGCAAGAACGAGAGCCCTCCATCAAACATGATAACGCCAGATCAGAAGACGGTTAGAAGATGCGCTGGTAGCATGTTCAAGAGCGTCCATGTGCGACTGTCGATGAATCTCGGCATTCTTCCTTCAGATTGAAATTGACTCTTTAAGCTGTACAACCGAGATATTAACAAACTTTATTAGGCTGACGTTTCGGTGCCTTCACCTTCCTCGGAGCCTGGAAAGACAAAAGGCACTTGAGAAACCATCCGATCAAGCACTATTTCAAACTACAAAGAAAGTTCAAAGGGCGCAGACTACTAGGAAGTCGAAAGATGCTAACTAACCTTTGAAACAGTCGACCTTTGGGGTCCACCGATCACCCTAAGCTGGTGTGGCTGCGGTTTAAATAGGGTGAGCCTCGGGTCAACTTGCTTCAG